CGAAATTTTTGGCGTGCCGACCCACTCCGTCTGAAAACGGCCGCAAGCGCTACGGATTGGGGTATCCCTGAACACATTCACCTCGATGACGCATGGAATCTCGTACTCACCAAAATGACGTCGCTAATTGAGCAGGTCGTTCCTTCCTCCCATCGAAAGCCCTTCGCTAGAGGTCCACCTTGGATGGATCGAGAGTTGAGGTCAAACATGAATAGAAGGCGTAAATTATGGGACCGCTATAGGCAATCTCATTCAGAACTCGACTTCTCTCACTACAAGACAGTCAGAAATGTTTGTGTCTCAATGAAGCGCCAGAAACGCCAACGATATGAGCTATCCTTGGCAAAACACTCCAGCATCGCGCCTAAAATGCTCTACTCTTATTTGAAAAGAAGCACTAGAGCTGGTAATGGCATCCCTGCTTTGTGTTCCTGTGATCATCAAGCTTTACTTCACGAGGACGCTGAGAAAGCTAGTCACTTGGCTAAACAATACGCTTCTGTTTACGCGAAAGAAACGCCATTTAGTGACAGAGCCGTATCCACATTTCCATCTTCGTTGGCCCAAGTAGATATTAACACTGATTCTGTGATGAAACTTCTTCTTCAGTTAGATCCGTATAGCTCACCCGGCCCTGATGGATTGCATCCTTTGTTTCTCAGGACTGTGGCGGAGTACATAGCTTCACCTATATGTCAAGTCTTTCGTCGCTCACTAGAAGCTGGCCGTCTTCCCTCAGCTTGGAAAGTGGGTATTGTCAAACCCATTTACAAAGGAGGAAGTCGACATGATCCGGCCAATTATCGTCCAATCTGTTTGACGTCAATAGTGTGTAAAGTTATGGAACGGATCCTAAAACAAGCTGTTACTCTTCATCTTGGGGGAAAGAATGTCATTTCTTCTGCCCAGCATGGGTTCAGAAAAGCACGCTCCTGTACTTCGAACTTGCTCGTTGTTAAGGAGACCTGGGCAAGGTCGCTAGACTCCGGCAAATGCTTGGACGTTGTGTTTGTTGACTTCAGCAAAGCTTTTGACAAAGTCCCGCATGAACGGCTCCTGTTTAAGCTCCAAGGAATCGGTATTTCTGGGAACCTCCTGTCTTGGATCTCCGACTTCCTAAACGACCGCTCTATGCAAGTGAAGGTGAATGACACATTTTCTGCTCCTGTTTTCATGACGAGCGGGGTCCCACAGGGCTCTGTCCTCGGTCCCGTACTTTTCAATATTTTCATCAACGACTTACCATCCACTCTTCAGACGGATTGCCTAATCTACGCTGACGACCTAAAGCTATGGATGGAAGTATCAAGCCTTGAAGACGCCGACCGATTACAAACTACGCTCAATCTACTCCATGACTGGTCGATTAAGTGGCAGTTGCCAGTAAATCGTGATAAATGCTCTGTTCTCCCCGTTGGCTCATCAAACCCATTTGGAACTTACCATATTGGTGGTTTCTTGCTCAGAAGCGCAACCGAAGAGAGGGATCTTGGAGTGATAGTGTCATCAGACCTCAAATCTATCCAAGACACCCAGAAGAGGGTCGCCGCGGCCTACAGGATGTTCCATTCTATACGTAGAGGCTTTTCTCTCCTGACCCCGGGACTTTTCCGACTCCTCTTTGGCTCGCATGTACGCCCGATTCTCGAATACGGACTACCCGCTGCCTACCCTCTCACCAAATCCGAATGTGATATGATAGAGAAGGTTCAACGGCATGGATCCAAATCCGTCCCTGAGTTGCGAGACCTGTCGTATCCACACCGACTTCAACGACTGAACTTGTTCTCTCTAGGCTACCGCCGTCACCGAGGAGATTTGATTTTCACTCGACGTATTCTCAGAGGAGAACTGGGTTGCGAGTTACAGGACTTCTTTCAACTCAACACTGAGAGTTCGACACGAGGCCACTGCATGAAACTGTTCAAACCGAGGAATCTCCGTGTGCGGCTCAATTTGGCCTTATCAACTCGCGTGGTGAATGATTGGAACCGGTTGCCGGATCCTGTTGTTGATGCTGAGACAGAGGAACGTTTCAAACAACTGTTAGATTCTCACCTGAGCGCGCTGGGATTCTGCTGCCTCTAAGGCAGCTACAGTGGTCCTCTGCGGAAACTTCTACCGCAATGAACCACGCCATCTCCGCAATGATCGCGAAGTGAAGGAGCTGACAAAGGATCTTCCTTCTGCTTTCTATCATCCAATGATCCAATGATCCGAGACAAAATAGACTTGGAGGGGGTATTACGAGTGGGTACTAGGTTAGTACAGGGTCTACAGGGACAGACATCCTGAACGCTTGCTTAGTTTGGGGATGTACTCAATGCACTACCGAAGGATAAGAAGGGATTTGATTCTTACTTATCGTATTTTGACGAGTAAGATAGGTCCGGACTTGTCAGGGCTATTTAGTCCCGCTGAGTTACCTAATCTCTGCGGTCACCCATTGAAGCTGCATAAACCACAATCTGATAGGATTAGGACGGAAACTCGTTTGTCGCACTGAGTTATAGATCGCTGGAATTCGCTTCCAGATCACGTGGTTAGGGAACCTACGGTTAAGGGTTTGCGCGTCATCCTGATGCTCTTGGGTGGCAACACCAAACCTTTCATTTTTCCTGACTTATCTTCAGTCTTTGGTTTTTTTTTCACTAACTCCAATATCTCGGTATTCTACTTGTTTAGCTTTTTCCTCTTTCTCTTCTTGCTCTCTGAGTTTACTCTTTTCTCTTTCTTACTTCACGTAACCGACCCAACAGGGACTGTTATGACAGCTCCCGTGGGCAATAATAGGGGGAACGGGGTGTGCTGCTATCTTTGTTGTAGGTACATTTGTCTTTCAAAGTCTGTCAATTTCTGGTTCAACGCCTAACTGGAGAAGGAATACTTACGGGATAATGCGATCGTTCCAGTCCTACTTGAACTTGAAGTATAGCCTTTAAGCTTATTCGATGTTTTTGAGTGACCAAAAGTTGTCCAGAAGTCCAATTAAGACGGTCAAGGGTACAAAAGTTGGTCTCTCAGGGCGTCAAAACGGTCACTCATGTTGACTGAAATTACGATTTCGCTAAAATGTAAAGCTTCTTAGGCGAAGTACGACGGTGATAAAGATGTTTAGTCTTATTTAACAACATATGTAGTTATGTCACGCCGTTTATCTTCATATTTACTTTTCGTTTAGGAGTGACCAAAAGTACACCTAGACGGGACGGCTACCTTCCATCTGTGCGGACAGGGATCTTAGGAATTTGGATAGAGAATGCCATAGAGTTTATGGGGTCATTGACGGTGATGGCAGCGGACGGTGTTGGTGTACCTCAAGCATTTAGCTAGTACTCTACCGCTCGCCGGTTCCTATATGCCTAGGTGCAGGTGACCTTCCATTGTCCCACTCCGTTTGCAGCTGCTTGTTGTTGCCTGCAACGAATTCTTGGTAGAAGGTTCCGGCGCACAGCTGATAACAAGTTATTGACATTACGTCGCTTTTTATTATCCATGCCGCCGTATACCGAATGTTGTTGTAAAATGTGGCTCAGCTTTAGGCTACTAACCATGCTCCGATGTGGACAGGCACTGTCAGTGGGTCCAAACCTACTCAGCATATATTTGCAGCAGTCTATACATAGACATTGAACCGTCGAAAAACCATGAACAAAATAGAAAAGTACAAATGTCAGAAACAGATAACAAATATTTTTCGGCTTTTTATTTTATCTGTTTTCACACCCCATTTTGTTCTTTTTTGGCATTTTGAATGGCCTAGTTCTAATCACATTGCTCAACCTATTTCAATGTACAGTCCTTCCATTGATTCTGGTTTCGCGCCATATCGCCAATTGTGTCGAGCCGTTTGCATTCCTCATCCTTGGGCCCCCAACCAGGAAGACGCACTGGCCCGACGATTGCGGGACAAGTCATCGATTTCATGCTTTGCCGTCATGTGGTTGCATGACCTCCTTGCCTTCTTTCCCAATTCAATCCAGTGCGAACAAATAAGGCGCGGCATAGTAAGCGCTCACATAACCTACGTAGAACGTGGCTAAGCCACGTCGATTGACGCATTGCGATAAGGTGATTAAGCAGGGGGCTCCTGTTTCCCTAGACCGGACACCGGCCTTCATCGTTTCAAACCCGGTGCTGTCACCACACACGGGCTATCCACCGCAAACATGTGTTGTCGAAGGTCGAGAGCCTATGCATGTCATCCACACGAAGCGGCCAGGACTCGCTTCCGTACAGCAAGACCGCGCCGACACAAGCGTTGTAGACCCACCCTTTTAAGGAGAGAGATATGTCCCGACGACTCCACAGATGACTCAGGTTGGTAAGTGCCGACCAGACTATGGTGATGCGAAACGACCTCTTTTCCAACGGTGTCATCAGCAGAAATACAGCTTTAGAAGTAGACAAAGTTTTCCACAAGCTCTAGCTGTGTTCCTTCAATGGCAAGTGAGGGGGCAGACGACTTCCAGTCATGGAGTAGCACTTGACACTTCAAGGGAGAAAAGCGCATATCACACTTACACACTCTACTCGTCAGACGGTTCAAAATAACCTGTATACTCTGTGAATCTTCACTAACCAGAGCTGTCATCAGCATAATCTAAGTCGGTCACGCGATTACCAGAAGAAGCTCAACACCAGGATATTGTGTGATTTTTCTTGGGTGCCAGTAGAGCGCTGCTCAGAGTAGCTTCGTTGGTCACTGGAAATACTCCTTCGTGATTACATCGCATCGTGACTGATACCTTCACTTTACTGATTCCAATTCTTGGAGCTTTTCTGTTTACGTTTCTTTCTCATGGTGACATGATATACATCGGTCGCCTCGCCTTCATTTGTTTACTTGCGCCATTATTAAAAATTTGGACTGGACTTAGCAGTTTCATGACTCTGAAGTTATCTACTACCTGGATAGTAATGTTCCTTTTTCGTCTTTTTTCACCATCAGGCTTGCGAACATTTATTTATTCATCTCCACTATCACGCTTCAATGCAATGTTCTCTATAGGCATATACACTACTCTTTTACTACCGAAATTACTGCAATAGCCTTTGCAATGGATGTTTGGCGCCAGCTGTTCGTTTCAGAAGACATCATTCGCGCTCTGGAAAAGGCTTCTTTTCACGAGCCAACGGCTATCCAGTCATGTACCCTTCCTTGTGCTATTCGGGACCGTCAGGATATTCTCGGTGCGGCGCCGACTGTAAGTTTGCATCCATTCTGTTTCACTTGTTTAGGGTAGTGGAAAAACTCTGGCATATGGAGTGCCTTTATTAATGCACGTCCGAGACCGCAAACAGTATGCGGTAAGTTACTTCCCTCATTCTGCTGATTATGTCTACACCACTGCTGAACCTTCAATAATCTCGGCTCACACCCTTAAGTTCACTGTTTTCCTTATAGTCAGCATCTAACTCATTGTGTCACCTGTTAACTTATCCTCTGACAGATTTGTTCCAGTCGTCTGGTTGCGTACAGAGTACCACATTCCTGAACAAGTTCAAGTTCAGTTGGGACCGGAACGATAGGATAATCCCGTGAATGTTCCTTCTTTTGCGTATCCTTGAACCGGGATTTGATAGGTTAGCTTGAGATGTAAAGCCTAAAACAAATACCGTGTTGCACCTTGTTCAACCAATTAATGCCCACATTTCCTGCCCAGCAGTCCCTGCCAGGCCGGTTTATGTGTACTAAGAAAGAGTGAAGACTAAACTAATAAAACAAGAGGAATGTCAGCTAAGAAATAAAAATTTGAAGAACTAGAAAAATGCGGGCAGAGATCTGAAGATGCTAGTCAGTTAGGAGAAGGGGAAGATTTGGTATTGCCACTCAAGAGTATCTAACTGACGCTCGAAACTCTAAACCTTCGATTACTTAACGACGTGCTCCCGAAGCGAGTTCCAACATCCAATAACCTGACTCGACAAGCGAGTTTCCGTCCTTACCCGATCAGAACGCAGTTTGGGTAGGTTCGGTGGGTGACATCGGAGACTAGGCAGCTTGGCGGGACTAAATTACCAGAACAAGTCTCGACCGATCTTACCCGTTACGATACGATAAGTAAGGATCAAGTCTCCTCTACTTCTGCCGGAGTGCATTGGGTACATAATCAAGCTAAGCAAACGTTCGGGATACGTTTGTTCCCGTAATCCTTGCAGTAACCTTGTACTCACTCGCAAAATCCTCTCGTTCCATTTTGCCTTTTACCAGACATGGTGGACAAGCCTGCATACAGTATTCTAAGTGGGGTCGCACAAAAGTTGAGGAAAGCTTTACAAAGATATCGGCCATTAAAACACCGAATGAGCGGCGAGTAAACCACATCATACAGAACCCTCTACATGCAGTCTTCCTCAAATTGTCCCCAGAGTGAAGCACTGAGGTGTGGACGATGCCTAGATCAATCTGCTGAGTGATAACAGGGATTTCACTTCCACTAACTACATAGCGCGTGGGGGAACTAGCACCTCCAATGAGGAGGACAGAACATTTCGCCTGATTTATGGGCATCAACCATAAGCTTGACCAATCCCAGAACCTATCCAAGGCACTCTGAAGTGCCTCAGAGCCACCAGGGATATCCACAATATTCCAGAGCTTGAGGTCATCAGCAAACAATAGCGACGGTACTCCAAGCTTCTGGGGTAGGTCATTGATATAAATTGCGAAAAGCAACGACCCTAGTACCGAGACCTACGGAAAGCCACCAAGAACAGCTTGTCTAAGCAAAAGCCTACACCCCACCCGTATGCACTGTTCTCTCCCCTCTAGAAAAGCAGACATCCGTTTAAGGGCGGCTCCAGATATCCCACACGATCTCAACTTTAATGAGAGTCGTTGATGTGGGACAGTTTCAATGGCTTTCGAGAAGTCAACCAAAAGCACGTCCATATCCTGACTGTCGTCTACTGTCTCACCCCAGCTTTCACGAGCTACAAGTAAATTTGTCAGACGCGAAAAGCCCTTAGGGAAACCGTGTTTTGCAGCACTGTGAAGGTTACATTTACTCAGCTGGTTTTTAAAACAACTTAACTACTACACTTTTCTAGCTAGCTGTCAGGTGATTCGCAGACAGATCACTCTCCGCTCTTAAAAATCGGACAGATCTTTACCTCCCATTCGGTAGGTAAGACACAGCTGTCGAGCGATATTGTCAACACACATGTGAGAGGGTCACTTAGCTCAGCAGCCAATTTTTGCATCAGTTTTTGATGAATTGAATCAGGGCCAGAAGTTTTGGAGGGATTTGCCCTTGTAATAGCCTGAAGACTTATGTCTCCATTATGCTGATTTCAGTTAGGCAAGAATCCTCCGGGACTCTTGTGACCAGCTCCACCTATGGTGGAGAGTTCTCTTGATCAAAGACACCAGTATACTGTGTGCTAGGTGTACATGCCTTATCATAGTTGGTATGCGCACGGGTCCCGTGCGCTCATGGTAACGCTGGTATAAACGAGTTTGTTCCGCTTCGCCTCTTTACGTAAACATAGAACTTTTTGTATTTGTTGCTGTTGCGTCAGCTGAATCCTCGTACAGATGAGCACTCCTACTATGTTGCTTACATTTATTTCTAACCGCTCCACAGCTTTCGTAGGTGCTATTTGTGAAACCGCTTGGTAAGTTCGTCAGTACGTAGAGCGCTTCCTGATCAGGCGTTTACCTGTATAATCTATCCAAGGAGGCTGCGCCCGTCTCCCTTTTCTTAATGAGTGGGTTGTTGGGAGCAGAGATCTCGGTGAGGTATGCTTTATCTTTCTTCCATTCTGACTCAACAGTGTCGGCCAAGGAGATCGCACAACGCAGAACTGAAACTTTGTCTCGCATGGCATTAAATTCTGCCCGCCAAATATTTGGACATGCCCCAGCGGTGACCTGATGATACTTAGTGAGAGCGCATCGAAAGGATATGCAGTCACTGGCTCCTAGAGCACAGCCTATGTAATATGACTTACGAACTCGTGCGAATTCGCAATAATGAGGTCCTAGGTAGATGGAAGCTGGTTGTTCAGGAGGTCCACGAACTAATGCAGACACTTGCAACGTTAAGTCGAGGCGATCCGAACCGAAGGTGCCCATTGCCGAATTGCAAGATAGATCAGCCCAACGCACCTCAGCGAGATTGAAATCCTCCAGTACTAGTCACCTATTTGCAGCCTGAGTACGAATAAACTCAACAACCACCTTGGAGATAGTTCCAGGACTTCGATATACCACTTCAAATGTAAACTGGATAGAGAAAGTGCACACAATAGTCGACAGGGCTTCAACTGTGTGATCCGACGACTAGCAAACACAGACCCACAACACATCCAGTTTCCAGCTCATATAAAGAGCGACGCCCCCACTTTGGCGGTCAGTGGAGCGATCTCATCTAAGTAGCGCGTAGCCAAGTAAACATACCTCACCATCTGTGATATCCGGGGCCAACTACTTTTCAGTGAAAGCGAGTATGTCGAGACGAGATTTATCTACAAGTTGACTCACCTCGTGTACCTTGTCCCTAAGGCTATGCACATTGCTAAACACTACCCGAAGGAACTCAGCATGACCAGACCTGGGTCGTACGCTACGAGGAGGGATTTTGGTAGGGCAGAAATTTTTTTCGGTTGACCATCTTAAAACCCACCAGACGGAAGCCTTGCTCACCAGCCGCCCACCTGTTCTTGAGACTTGATGGCTTCCTTTAAATTATTCGATATGGCAGTGGGAGATCCGGCTGAACGCTGTTATTCTTACCTTTGAGTTCGAATGGAAAGCGCATTAACGCTTTGCGTTCCTCTTGAGTTATGATGACTGCACGAAGTAATCGGGGTCGGGGAGTTGGTGTATCGACAACAACTTTCCCCAGTCTGGTTAGCTTTCTGATAGTGACATCAGGGAAACCAGTTGGGAGCATCTTGGTGACGCGGAGCTTGAACCACGAGGTCATCCAGCATGCGTTCCCTGAGAAGAGCTGCTGCGGATTCAGCAACATTACGGAAGGTAACGCTGCTATCAGTGAAAGAATCATCTCAACCAGGCATATTCACTCCACGAGTCTTTGACTCGACCCCAGTTTCGATCGGTTTGACAAGTGACACGGCGCGTTTCTTCGCCAATGCAGCTGGGATAGTTAGGGTCGGAAATTTATGCTCCCCTCCAAAGTTGTTACGGGTTTACTTTCTTCAGGCTTTGCAGGTGCCTTACGGGCTTTCTCAGCCTTCTTGCTTTTAACTGGCTCTGGGACTATGATATCGGTCTCGCCTTGAATGACGTCCAGTACGATATCAGAGGTCTTGTTAGGGGCATTCTGGTTAGCTGGGGCACACGACACGGTGGACGTCACCTCTATCGGATTCTCAACGACAGTAAATGGGATTGGCCGCGTGGATACCTCCAATGAGCCGATATTTATAGTGACTCCCTTTTTCATAAACAACTCTACTTTACGACCAAGAGATGCGAGAAAAGACCACATCTGCTGATTACCCAGCCCGACGTTGCTCGATGCCTCCTCTGTGACATCAATATACGTAGACCAACGGCTACGGCATACAAGGCAATGGAACAGCATGCTATGGCTAGTCGAGAGCACTGCGTACTGACCAGAGCTCAATTCGGTACAGGTCTCATGGTACCAGCAGTTGCATACATAGTACTACATACCCCCAGACTCGTCCGTCACGGACTTTGAGCAGCTCAAAATGTTGCATACAACATTAGATTCACTGATCAATGCAGCCGAAGACACATTAGCACCGGTATATCCGATATGATGCTTTCAGCGAATAAGTATCAAAATGTAAAACCGACGAGCTGTTACGTGCAGGGTAGTCCACAGAAACAGTTACAGGTGCAAAACGGATTTCAAAACACCAAAGTACCTGAAAAATAGCCAGGGGCTGAACCCGTAAAAATATGGACAACGTTTGATAAGTAAGCAAGAATGGATACGACTTAATCCGGGGAAAACAGTGATCCAAAATTATTTGAATCAAGCGAAATTTGACAAAAATCCTATTTTTTCCACGACACTCTGGTAAACACTTCCGAAACCGTCCTGTGAAAGTAATCCTCCAAAAGACATGCTCAAAATTTTCAATTTAACGTTGAGGAGGTGTTGGTGACCTAAACTATCTCCTGGCTGCCTTAGAAAAGGACCAATGTTTAAGGCATCCGCCCTGTGTGTGCACCACTTGGTCATAAATCGCTGGTAGCATCAGCAAAATAAACTCCCGACGACTAACCATGTTTTATCTAACTATATGCGCTCTCAATGCTAGCAATGGCACACATGCATTATAGCCAGGAGAAGGCAATGGGTACA